TTCTCTCTGCTGGGTCCCGCTGCCTTCCCGCCCTTGCTTCTGTTCGGAGTGCTGTCCCCTCTCCAGCTGCCCCGACTGCCCCCAGGGGCCCCGTCCTCCCAGCACCCCGGTACCCCGCCCCATCCTCACCCTGCATTCGGCTCCAGCACGGGGCCATCCGCACCCAGTCCTCCCCACCGGGGTCTCTTCCTTCCCAGTCCCTTTCCTCCACTTTTTCCCCTGACATCTGTTCTCCTCCCCTTTTTCTGACCTAGCCCATGCACGTGTCCATATTTGCTCTGGGGTCCCTGTCATCCACCGGGGATTATTCCAGTCACAAGGCACCCCCCCCTCCAGGCTCAGCCCTTCCTTCTGCGGAAGGGGGCGGGCTGGCTCAGTACCCCTGTTCCACTAGGTCTTAGGCCCCTACTTCCTCTCTGGCCACATCCCTTCCTTTTCATCCATCCGTTTCAACAAGTGTATCTGAGGGGCTGGTATTGTGAACACTGTATCAGGGGGTGGGGGCAGACAGGGCCTAGGTCACACGGCCTGCCCTTTGTAAGTAACTAGTTAGGGAGAGAAACAAGAATTACCCGCGGTGCAGCCCAGTAAGGCCTTTGGTAGAGATAAATTAGTCATAATAGTAAGTTAAAAATAAGAAGACCACATTATCTCTACCACAACAAACCTCTGAGTAGGTATGGTCATCCCCATTTTACATTTAGAGAGACTGAGGCTCAGAGTAGTTAAGTTACTTGCTCAAAGCCACACAGCTAGTAAAGAATAAACCCAAAAGAGCAAATCGAACTCTGGCCCCAAAGAAGCAGCTGCACTTTTCCCACATCATCACCTTCCCTGCTTTGTCTGGAAGCTTCTGGAGATGGTGGGAATGGTGGGGCCATTTGAGCTTAACTAGGAATTCCCCAGGTGAAAAATGAGGGGTGTACCACCCAGGCAAGGAGCTCTAGTGGTGCAGTGCCTAAGGCGCTTGACTGCTCACCAGAAGGTCAGTGATTCAAACCCACCTGCCATCCCAGGAAGGAAGACTGGGCAATCTACTTCAGTAAAGAGTTACCACTTCGGAAACCCAACGGGGGTTGCTATGAGTCAGAATTGACTCAATGGCGGTGGGTTTGGGTTTTCTTGTTTACCATCCAGGCAGCAAAAGCATAGGGAAAAGGCAGGGTGGAGCAGAGGTAGAGGTAGGGAGGAGGAGGAGGCGGCAAAGATGTTGCAGTTTTACCAAACAATCAGACTCCATAGGACACAGCCATAGGGTCACTCTCTCCTTCCTTCGGAGGTGGAGTTTTGGCCCCGGATTACATTCTGGGCAGGCCCCATGGCTTTTCTAATCTCTCTGAGATAACGAATCAATAGCCCCTTTATTTGGCATTAAAAAAAAAAAAAAAAATCAGTCTACTGTCCAAATCACTGAACCCCAGTCAGGTTAGAGTGACATTAAACACTCTGAATCTTAGTCACTAGGGAAATGCAAATTGAAACCACAATGAGATAACCACCACACACTGGTGTGAGTAGCAAAAAAATCAAAGAAAACTGACAATACCAAACACTGGCAAGGATAAGGAGCACCTGGAACTTTCTCACGCATTGCTGGTGGCAATACAAACTGGAAATAGAGCTGTTTTGGAAAACATTCTGGCAGTTTCTTATAAAGTTAAATATA